CCCCACACCCACCCTCACTCACACCCACACCCACACCCACACACCCACACCCCACACCCACCCACACCCACACCCACACCCATATTCACCCACACCCACACCACCCACACCCACACCCTTCTTATGAAACGTAGGAGTTTATTTAGGGTGTGGGTGGCGACGTGTGGGCGTGGGTGAGTGTGGATGCGGGTGTGGGTGTAGAGTTTTGCTTCACTGATACCCACACCCATACCCCGAGTGAACTGGTGGCAATTAACCGGTGAATGATCGCCACCGTTGGATCCCTAACTAGTTCGCTTAAATTCAAATTCCAAGTTTGATTTCTTGATGGTGTGGGTGTAGTATGTTGAAGCTGCCATGAGTGGCTTCATCCTTGCTTAAGGTACTCGTCAGATATCTTAATATATTTTTAGATTTATCGTGTACAACATATAGAGAGAATAAATCCAGCAAATAGATATGCTTTCCTCTGGGATATATGGAGGTTCCAGGAGCTAAAAATGACTTTCTATATTCCCAATCCCCATTGTTCTTCAAAACTTAAGCCGATCGGGCTGAAACGTTTTCTCAAGGTAGAATCGAGTATGTGAATATGCATCAATTACCATTACAAATATTCATCCAAACAAAACAATTAATAGAAGCGTAATGCATGCATCAAGGTTGTAGCTGCCCAGCTAATGCATGTTCTATCCTCTTTATAGAATCGACCTGGGTTTCATATTCGCAGTGACGACCAAACACACCTTCCAAGGAGCAACAATTAAGAAATAATTGCTCGGCAATATAGCTTAATCACAAGCTCCACTCATTTCCATACAAGGTCGCTGTCGATCGACTCAAGTGAATCATTGTTTATCGGTGTACAAGATAGACTCTTTATCGATCTACTTGCTTAGTCTTTAACCAAAAGAGATTTAATCGTTTCGATCAATTCGTCTTTGGAAATTATCAATGACGTTCCTCAATTTTAAAGTTTCAATCGCGACTAATACCATTGCTCAAGTTACGATGAAGACTAAGATAGGCCACATATCTTTCCGAGTGAGCTTTCACTTTTTCATAATTTGAATTTTAACCACAGAGTAATCGTCGACTAATGCATCCTTTGTTAAACAATAAGCTATGTGGAGAAGTATGTGTCACATGTGAAATCTATTTTCTCTCTGTGAGCACATTCAGACAATAGTTAGTTGGTGTTGTAAGCTCGTGACGAAACATATAATAAAGCCAGAGTTACCATTTTAATGCTATTGCCTTTAGTAAGAATGTAATCCGCGTGATCTTTCTTTTCTATACTTTTGTTCCGAGAAAACAAATTCGCATGAATTAATATCTTAACCCTTTCCAGCCGGATGTTGCCAAAAAGCAACATTGAAAGCTTATCTTACCCAGAACTTCTTGAAACTAGCCTTGAATACCATTCTCATAACACGATAATTAAGGGCACATAATGCCTGATTTATTCATCTTTCATTTGAGATCAACACATACCCGTCATTGAAAATAGCCTCATACATACTAACGAGCTAGGAAAAGAGACATAACCATGATTATCACTCATTTGAACATCTATTGAGTATCGATATGCGAGTCACCTATTTTAAAACTTTCTTCAATGGATTACCAGTGTATATTACTACTAACAATAGCTTCTTGGTAATACTTGAAATAAAAAAAAACGAGATTGTTGCCTTTTGGCAACTCTCGGCTAAATGGGGTCAAACATTTTACTGAAGACATCCATTATTAAGAATATAATATTTTCGGTTACTACTTATCCAAAATATCGAGCAACGCAAAATATGATACGATATGTTTGTCTGTAACACACTTTGCAATATACTGACGCCATCTATTGAAATAAGCGCTCATTAGTGAATAGCTTAGCCTTTCATTGTAGTGCTAGAGTTAATCGTTAGAACTGTCAATTCCACCTGTCAACGTCAAATTGAAAGTGATCAAAATCTAAATTTTTACTAGAATTTTTCTTCAAAAAAGATCAAAAATAATATTGTGAGTTTTCATTGGGTTTAAGGAGAATCTATCGTAGATTTTGATCTAATTGCTTTTAGAAATGCCTAATAAAAATAAAAAAACAGATCCTAAAAATCATACTGCCATACCAAATGGTATGAGTGAAACTATTGATACATCTGAATCTGAAGATGAGATGAAAAAAGTTCAAGATATTTTAAAAAATCAATTAGTAATGAATGATACATCTCCATCAAGTGAGATGAATGATTCTGAAGAGGAACATCAACAAGACACATCCAAATCAAAGAGAAAAAAAATACATTGGGTGAAAAAACCCTTTACACTTCCAATATCAACATTTATTGGAGGTTCATTACCACCTCCAAACCATTCTGGACTGGAACCAATTGATTATTTTTACTCTATGTTTGGAAAAGAATCATTTGATATTTTAAAAGAACAGTCAAACTTATACTCCGTTCAGGTCAATCCAAATCAACCAGTTAATATTTCAGAATCTGAAATTCGTCAATTCGTCGGTATTTTATTAATGACAGGCATTTATGGTTTTCCTCAACAACGATCCTATTGGACAAACAGTACTCGTGCTGAGTCTATTGCTTCGACAATGAGTCGAGATCGATTCTTAGAAATTAAGAAAAATTTACATGTTGTTGACAATACTAATCAACTAGGTCAAAATGATCCTAATTATGATCGAGCATTTAAAGTTCGACCATTATTAAAGATTATTAAAAATAATTTTAGAAAAATTCAAAAGGAAGAACATTTGTGTGTTGATGAACAAATTATACCTTTAAAGGTAAAAGTATTATGGAACAACATATGCCAAAGAAACCTAATCGGTGGGGTTATAAAATGTTTTTATTAGCTGATAGCATTAGTGGAATTTGTTATGATTTTATTTTTTATACTGGCAAAACAAATGAACCTCAATATGGATTTTGTACAGATATTGTGCTTAAACTCTGTGAAACAATACCAAAAATGATGAATTACAAATTAAACTTTGATAATTATTTTACTACTATTCAACTTGAAGTCCAGTTGAAGAAATTAGGTATTTTTTCTATTGGAACAATTCGATCCAACAGATTAACAGATATAAATATGAAAGATATTAAGAGTTTAACAGAAGAAGGTCGAGGATCCATCGATTATCGTATAACTCAAGTTGATGGCGTCGAATTATGTGCAACGCGTTGGTGTGACAATAATATTGTTACATGTTTATCAACTTTATCTGGTTGTGAATCAATTGATATGGTGAAACGATGATCTTCCTCACAGAAACAACATATTCAAGTAAAACGACCAAATGTTATTAAATTGTACAACGCCCATATGGGGGGTGTCGATCTATTCGACATGCTGCTCTCATTCTATCAAATTAATAATCGTTCAAAGAAATACTATATGAAAATCATTTTCCATCTAATTGATCTATACAGTTGTCAATGGCTGGTTATTGTATCGTCGTGATTGTTCTCAATTTAGATTACCAAAAAATGAAATTCTTTCTTTATTACAATTTCGGATGGAAATTGCTGAAGCTTTAATGAAATCGGTTGTACCTAAACGTTCAATTCAACGAGGTCGACCATCTTTACGTCTTCGATCAAAAGAAAATACTCCATCACCTCATCCTCGAGCTGCACCTATTCGAACTCCACCACTTAGTATTCGACTCGATGGATTCAATCATTGGCCAATGTCAGCAACCAAAGGACGTTGTCGTCATCATGGATGTAACATTGTGTTCCATTCATTGAAAGATAAAAGTCTTTTTTGGTATTTTGACCCACTTCGGCCGGCTGTTGCCTTTTGGGAACATCCTGGTATTTAGTTATAAATCAATTCTTTGATCCCCAAATTTAAATATGATCATCCTCGTGGTGAAACAAGAAAAAATATGTATCATAAGAATTTTTTTCTTAACGGTTTCTAGGAGCCGACCGTAAAGGGTTAACGAGTCGATTGAAAAATCTGTTTTATAATATCCGAAAATATTTATATCATGTTATACAACACGAATTAATTGTGCAAAATGGAAACGTATTGTTATTAGAGAATGCATGGTGTATTCAAGTGATTTCTATCTCTGTTATTCATTGCTGTAAATAAACTTGTGTCTTGATCAAACTTTTAACTATGTATCAACAAATGAAATTGGACGTTATGTACAAATCATGTAGAATTGAAAAGCAAACGCATAGAAATTCTTCGAGAAGAATCTCAAAGACGAACAAACTACTGTGCCCACATTTTGCGCGAATTCTAAGATATCGCTTATTAAAATAATCTCTTCTACGAATTATAAGCAGTGCATACAATAGATCTGCAGAGCAAAATGTTCGCGAAGAAGCAAAAACTTAGTAAAAACCTTCAAATGCTGCCATCTGCTTGGGTGTCTCATGTGACAGAACAAAAAAAAAACATTTTTCTTCCAACCAGTGCAACCGATCATGACTCAATGAGACACGACTGCTGTAGATGAAAAATTTGCAAAAAATGAATTATAAAACTTCCATCATAGATATATTTTTGCACTGACAGTGAATTCTATCCTCATTTGAATTAGAAAATACAAGGCATAAACGGTTGAAAGCTTCGACCTCCTTGACACCCGTTAGAAATCGGTACACAATTGGACAATCGAATTTCAAGTGAAGAATAACCTTAAGACGTGTTCCGTATGTATCGTGTGACTCAAGCTTCTATAATATTAACCAATCATCAACAGAGAGGAACAGTCGTTTCTGGTAAACATCGAATTTTCACTGTTGAATTTTTCAATGACTTTGGATCGATCGAAAAACTCATCAGTCAGAATTCGGTAGTTGCGTTATCTTCAAAACTGTCGAAAGAAATCTAGCTTTTACCACCGTTTTGATTGAAAACCAACTATAATTTACCTCAAATAAACAAAGTCTTAAATGAAATATTTGAAAAAGTTGAATTTTTCGTATCCACTCCCATTTTGATCAAACATAAGGTACCGGTAGCAGGAAGTTTCAGTAAAATTTTTTTACGTTGTATTACATCATTTGATAGAGTGTGAGTCGCTGGTTACAGAAAACTACTTTATAGCCTTAGCAAATACTTCTTGCCGGTAGAAAAATACGAACTACTCGACAAATGCTGATTTTTTCGAAAAACACATCTTTTGCCAAAATGTGTCAAATTTTCTATTTCGTTCTTGTTCCCAGCTTATGAAAATAATTTTTTTCAGATTCATTATCAAAAACTGAGTATTAAAAAGTTGTTAAACCGACTCTAGACTCAAAACTCTATTGGTGGTGGCGCTTCGAATCGCGTCAAGTACACTGCGTATAGGTCAATTTTGTGAACCTATCTAGCTTTTCTACGTAATTGATAAAGGCAAACATTTTATGTCATTCGATTCATCATAACACATACCACCAGCCAAAAAGTTACGCATCGTTGTTTTCTTTCCGTTCTTTCTTGTATTGAGAAAAATCGTTATTATTTGTACCATAGTCATGTTAGAGGTAATTCATTGATTTTCGCATTCAAATAAAAATTTTTGTCAAAAACTAAATACAGATTCTGAATTAGCCCAAAAACTGAGGCAAATGAAATATCTTTCAATTTAATTTGACAACTTTCATTTTGTCTCTTTTTTTTGAGACATGGTCGAAGGGCTGAAATTATTGTATATGTGTCAAAAAATGAAAGTAGCAAAATTAGCGTGAAAGATATTTCATTTGACTCAGTTTATTGTGTTGATTCAGAATTTGTATTTAGTTTTTGACAAAAAATTTTGGAATTCTAAAACCGATGAATTACCTGTAACACGGCTATAGTGCAAGTTTTGATACTGAATCTGAGAAAATTATTTTCATAAGCTGGAAATAAGACCGAAGTAGTAAATTTGACACATTTTGACAAAATATCTGTTTTTCAAAAAAATCGGCATTTGTCGAGTAGTTCGTATTTTTCTATCGGCAAAAAGTATTTGCTAAGGCTATAAAGTAGTTTTCCATAACCAGCGACTCACACTCAATCAAATGATGTAAAACAATGTAAAAAAATTTTTATTGAAAGTTCGCATTGCTGATACTTTACAAATCTATGAACATATGAAAAAAAAATCGTATATTTTCTGATGTTTTCATCATTCAACCGATTTAGATCGTTTCCTCGTTGAATTATGAGTTTTTGATAAAAGTAATTTCGACAAAATGTGTAAAAAAACTATCTTCAGTAATTTTGGACTATTGACGCCACCCATAATGCGTCGTGGAAACTGATGCTTTGATATATTCAAAAGAAGAAATCTGAACTTTCGAAAAAAAAATGCAATTTTGAACATTAGCGAAGTTTTGTCAGTATTTTCAAATTTCTAAGGACATTTGTGGGTGCCATTTTATCTAACAAACGAGCTGAACAGAAAAGCTGAGCTTTCAAGTTTTCAATCAGTCGAAATAGTGAAATATTTCGAACACAAAAGATGATGAAAATCAAAAAATCTCTAAATTGATTTCAACTTTGATATCCGACGATAAAAAATGCATGCTCGGATTCAGTATCGAAATCAAATTAAATGATAAGAATGTAAATGAAGATAATCATAAAATGGTTTCTTTTAATATTTATAGAAGAAAACTTCAAAGCAGATCTGACACAAACGCAATGATTTTCGCAAATTTTCGGTGTTTTTGTCAAAGACAAAAACTGTTAATGAAATATCTATCTCTCCTTCTTCTTCTTCTTCTCCTCCTTCTTCGACAATTTTTATCATCAGTAATAGTTTCCAGCGAAAATTCTCAGAAAAAGACGGGATTTATTGACCAACGAATGGAACAAATATTTGAAGAAGAAATTTTGACTCGTGAACATATTCAACAATTAGAGAATATGGAAAGAATTCCAGATGGCAAAAGACGTGTAAGTACTAATATTGGGAATCTAACAGCGAGTAAGTGTAATTGTTCTGTCTAAACTTTTTGAAATAGTTTTTTAACATCCATTCTAGAAAGAATAGACTTTCCAAAGATAATTTACTATATGCGTCATTTTCAAGCTCAACATAATGTTGAGCCAAGTTATGTCAATATGTTGGATCCAGATTTAACGGAATATGGATTTGAGCAAGGTTCAAAAATAACATTTGATGATGATCAATTAGAGTTAATTATATGTTCGCCGCTCTCACGTACAATTCAAACATACTTATCCATATTTAATCGTACGGAAAGGCGTCGACAAATACCATTTAAATTGGATGCTGATTTACAGGTACGAAACTATGATGTCAAATGATAGAAACAGTTGAATGTTGGTCACATTGTCGATAGCAGTAGATTTTTTTGTTTTCTTTTGACGTGACGTAGCTTTCAAATAGTTTTCAATAGAAGCTTTTTGGAAGAAAGATGATAAAAGACAAGCAAATTTTAGGTTTTTGTTGTTCATAGATCGCCTAATGCATTTTCTTATGGTAGCTGTCAATATATTTGAAAATTTCGCCATATTGAAAAAAACTTATAATTTTGAAATTTTCAAAACTGATTATTTCTTTAGAATTTCAAATCAATGTTTATTTTTTCAGAGATATCATGAAACATATAATTAAGAATGTTTTTAGAGTATGATAGTCCTTAAAAAAATCCATTAAACACAACCCTACATGTCATTCGATACATTCATACAATTCACTCCTTCTTGATCTTGCTCTGCTCGCGGTATGAGCACAAATGTAATATTATCTTTTTGGATTTACTTGAGTGACTTTTGATGCAACGCGTGAAGAAAAATGGCACACTGTGTATCGGAGTGGATTTCAGAGAGTAGTCGATCAACTGTTTGAGAGCGACGATTCTTTCTTGAGAAATGTTAGCAAATTGATCCATGTATTAACTCATTAAATGATATACTGATTGTCTGCAATACTAAAGGGCAATCAAAAAAAATCAGTAAGCATAGAAGATCTTAACCGCATAAATATTCTAAACATAAATGTTCATGCAATCCGTAGCATGCAATAACCAAAAGATCATGGTTTTTAAAGTTATTCAGTACAGAAAGTCTAAGGACGAGCATTTTCGTCGATCGTACTAACAGAGTTGAGCAGAAAGTTTTATTTTTATTTAATTCTACTCTCTTAATACCATAAAAAAAAGACATGAATCATCGTTTTCTTCAGCTTGTTCTGTTCCTTACACATTGTATTTTTACTAGAACACACAATTTTTCTTTAATAGTAGCAAGTCATTATTCTGTGATAAGTTAGGATGAAAAATAGGTGTAGAGTCCAGTCAAGTTCGAAAAAGTGGTTCTTCATAAAAGCTTTTTGGAATTTGGTTTGCAACATTGATAAAAATGAAATATAAATTTTGACATAATCAGGGAATTTTCGTGCATCTATCATGGTTGTTAGCCACATGATGCGGGTTGGAACAAAACTTCAAACGACTATCAGAACCTTGGCCTAGTTAGATCATAGAGACGTTTGAACAAGCTTACCTTGTCGAACATTTCATATTCTATAGCTCTGGTTCAAATTCGCAATGTCGATTTTGAAAAGGCTTTTATAGAGAATTCGTTAGCTATAGAACTCCACGGCATTCAGGAAAGACATTGTGTCTATCAAGCTTTTTTGACTAAGAGTAGTATTGTTTTATTTCATTTTATATTCAGAGTGTTTTTAGTTGTTTTAAATGACACACATCACTTCTCTTGTTTTCTGTGAACCTCTTGAATCTAGTTGTCTTCACACTGAAGAGAAGCAGAACGCCAGAGCGCATTTTGCGTTCTGTCGTATCTTTGCACATCTGACTTCCAAAGAGTATAGATAGATTGAGACTAGTTCAATCGTGCATATGAAGCACATACAAATGGCTGTTCGCAGAACACAAAAGAGAGTGATATTTCGTTTTTTCTGAGCACTTACGTAGAACAGAAGAATTTGCCATCATACAATGATTTAGCTATGAAAATAGAAATGATAAGAAATATTGAATATTTCTGTTAAAACTTGAACAATACGCAAATCGCTCCTCTCCTAATTCTACGTCTCGCAATCACGATGATCGAAAATTTTGAAGACTAACGTCTTTGAAGTCCAGAAAATTGAGGCAGACTGTCTAGTTCAGGAAACCCAATTTTTTAAATATTGCCATCGACTTTTTCAACTGGATTTTTTGTGTTTGAAATAGATTTTGACAGACACATGTTATTTGTGGATTTTCTATATCAGTGAAAAATTTTCAAATAACCTTTGATATTAAAAAATGTTTAGCTCTCAAATGAGAACTGAAATGATCGTATCGCCTTTTATAATGTCCTTCTTGTAGTAGCACGAGATTTTACAATGTACAAACAAAAACAGCTGGTGCATCATCATGTTCCGCTTCATTTTTAGCCAACAGGATAATGCTGTTGTGTATCTCATAGTGAGACGCTCACTAGAACACTCACGGAGTTGAAGCACATGAGAAACCCAAGGTGTGATACCGCTGATCGGGTGAAGCGACATGTCTTCCCACAACCTTCCCTCATGGCTGTCACTTGCGTTTATTCATCTTTTCGCCTTACGAGTGATATAGCATGTTACACATTTAAACGTGTGCCAATTCTCAATCACGGAATGGAATTGGTTCCGATCGCCATTTATTTTGAAAAAAGAAGATTTGTGTCTGAAAAAAAAAGAAGCAAGGTCACTAAACATTTCACTATAGTCCTTTCGGATCAAGTGACCAAACTGAACAGATATTTTGAAATGCAGCGTTCAAAGACTTATGGCTCGGAACAAAACTGGGTGTTTAAAAACTCAGTTCATATGAATAGAACTGATATTTCCATGAAGTTTTCAAAAAAAAAAACTTATTCATGGATCCGAGAGCTGTCTCAGATAGAATCGGTTTGGTTCGAGTTCCAATTCAGATCCTCGTCCGAAAACTTTAGACCTAACGGACTCTAGTCGTAAGTCTATACCCGTTCGTATTTGCTGCTATAGTTTACGGCTTGTTTCGTTGTGTACTCCATAGATGAAACTACGGGAGTTCATGATCTCGGATGAACTCAACTTCGAAAGTCCTGTGGCTCCATCGATGGAGAAACTTGTTTTATAAAAGAATTGATTTAAGGAGCACCCTACCCATAGACGGCAGAAAATGTCGTATGAATATCTTTGATGTGAATTCCTTGAATAACCCAACCGGTTTGAAAATCTTAATATTCAGATAGTGGTAAGCTGCCATTGCATTAGTGACATGAACGGGTGTAACCTACAATGCTTCTGTTTTCGCCGCCCGTGATGAATGGGATACTACTACTTTCATTGTTTTTGACGATTGTATCCTAAGACGTTGCGCTTCTTCTTATCCCTATTGCTATCTATTTCAGGAAATCGAAGCAAATGCAGCCGATACTCCTCGTTCAAAAGCCAGTTTGAAACAAAAGTTTCCTCAGTTATCATCAATCATCGATCGTGATTTAGACGAGAAATTTAACGATAAAAACAATCCATTATACAGTGCATCATCGAGCAAAGTAAAAGATCGTATTACCAGATTTCACCAACATTTATTAAAACAACATAAGGAAACACATATTATGATTATTACACATGCTGGGTGGTTGCGCATAGCGCTAAATGGAAAAATGTTTATCAACGGACAAATCGAAAAACGAATCTATAAACACGGTGATGACTTGGTCAGCAGCAGCTAAAATAATTATAACATAAGGAAAAGTGGCATACATTTTATTTTCTTTACAAATTTCATGCTCTTGTATTCGAACCGAGGCTACGAAAAAAAAAACAGTTTGTTTTCAATAGGATACAAAACAAGGCATTGACCAGTAAAAACAATCAAACAACTAGATCTGTTTGATCATCCTATTTGAAAGTCTATCTGAATGAGATAGTTCTAAAATTTTGACAAATCTTCGGAATTTTCAACCAGTACATACGAAGACTGGAGTTATTCGCGCATACTTCCTTATGAAACAGCTACCGCTCATGCATTCCGTTGTTCAACTATTTTCATAGATCTATAAGAGTTTCAAAGAAACTTTACAGTATTGATACGTTGACATATCGATATAGCTAGTAAATCCTCAACAAATATAGTTTCTCTGTCGAATCAATACTACTTTCCTCAATAAAGTATTTCACAAAATAACCTTTAATCTATGCTATAATCTTGTTCCTGAGGGTGGGTGTGGGTGTGAATGTTTCTGTAGTCTTAATTGACATCCACACCCACTCCAATAGCAATATCTATTTGAAAACATTTCTCTTCTTGAAAATAAATACTTTTCTTCCACACTCTATTCAAGCTAAAGACATATTGACAATTTTTATTCAGTAGTTTTATTAGCTGAATTCCAAGGATGATTATACCATGGAAATTGATCTAGCTAAAACTGTTTTTCGGTGGGTGAGTGTAGGAGTGGGGGTGGGGTTCGAATGTAGGTGTGGGTGTGAGTGCGACTAGAGGAAAGATCAATACCGACACTCACACCCCACAGCCACAGTCACAGCCACACACACCCACACCCACACTCACACCCACACCCCACACCCACACCCATACCCACATCCACACCCATACCCACACCCTCAAGTTCATTATAAGTACAATTATGATTAATAACAAAATATTCAATAATACTGAGTTGTTTATTGGTAGCAATAGCCCATAGGACATACGTAAAGAATCCTTCTGCTGAACATTTAATATATTTCAATTTAGATAAACCAAAAATTAATCGATAAACTTCACTTAAGTCACTTAACGCCCATCCTATATCGATTGTTAATGAGAAAAAACGAGGTAAAGAAGATAAATTAGATAGTAGTGAAATAAGTAAGTTACATTAGGTGGAATTTCAATAATAACAAGTGATTCACGACGATCAAATGACGAATCAATTGAAAATGACGAGAAAAATTCACTTTTCTGTAATGCTTTTAACTGTTATTGACGTATATATACGACAAAACAATTTTTATGAAAAAAATCAAGACTACAGTTACTATAATTACTTAACTTTAGTTTCTTTGTGTGTTCTGTATCGACTCGAAAGTTCGGCACATAATGAATCTCATTCAACCGATTCTAATGTTTCATTTCGGTTATGTTCCTGTGTATCAAAAGTTATTTATAAATATTCGTATGTAGTTCATTAGTTCTTGAAATCGATGATTAATATTTGAAAACGCTTTAAATACTTTACAACCATCAAGATATTCAAATACCTCATAGAAAAATTCATTCGATAAATTTTTAATCCAACTTATCGACATATTAAAAACGAATACAAATATCTGACCTAGCAGAAAGAATCAAATCTGATAAGGGACATTTGAGTGTCAAGTTATAAAAGTTTTTATTAAACAATTTCACACAAGAGTAATTACAACAAACAATCTTCTAATCATTTCCATTGTAAATAAATTTTATCCATAACATGTTTAATAATAAAATCAAAACGTAAATTTTCTACGTCAATCATGTTTTCTAATTTTTCAATCATATCATCATGTGCTTCTGGAACACAAAAACATAATAATCGAAGTAAAGAATTGGATACACTCTTAATTTGTGTTAAAATAAGTCCTGTTAATAATTCAGCATGCATATAATTAACACATTTTATTTGAAGATGATTAATACGAGAACAAATTAAAGATAACATATAAAGTTCATTCATGTCTTTCATATTTTTGAAAAAAAATTTTTGTAATTTGATTTTTATTTGATAAAAAACAAAGAAATTCGATTTCTTCTTCTGATAAATCTCCTTGTTGTAAAATTGGTAAAGAAAAAATCTTTAATGTATTAACTTCAGGTAATAAATGTAAAATTTCCATTAATTTATCGCGAAAAATTTTTGCGTGAATTTCTAATTGATAAATTTGTGTTACAGTTAAAGCATGATTAATAGAATCATTTATGAATATTGTCTTCGTCCATCGTTCAGGACATATTTCATCTAGACTAAGACGAATAGATTTAGATAATTGATCAGAAGAATTAATCATCTTATTTTGTGTATCATATTCATACCATCTTTTTCTAAAATTAAAAAGAAAATAAATTATTCAATATAAAAACTTCTTTTTGATATACTGATATGGACGGATTGAATAAATTATATTTTCAAATTCAATTTCAATTTCTAATATCCATCGTCGTTGAAGCCAAAATGATGAAATAAATTGATCGCGTTGTCCAAAATATATCGAAGTTTGATAATCTTCTGCAAAATATGCACTGTACTTAAAATAAAACTTTTCCAATTGAGGTAATTTTGTTAAAATAAATTCTTCCCACCGATTAGCATCAAGATAAGCAATATCTTCAACTAGTGTCGTCAATGATAAAACTTTTATTTTCGAATTTAATTTATTAATAAATATTTCAAATTCGTCAAATGATATTTTTCTATATATATGAATAGAAAGATGTGTTAAATTTGGTAATATTATTGGTTTAATACTTCTAATGTTTACATTTCGATTGGTAAAACTCAAAAATTTTAAATAACGAAGATGAGGTGTATAGGATGTTATACCAAAAAGTTCGTCGAAAGTACAAGGATGATCCATAATAAGATGTTCGATAGAACTGATTTGTTCACTAGTAGCAATTGTTAATGAGATAGTTATATCGTAATCATTGGATTCCATTGCTGTAAATTGGATATATTTTAATTTTGGTAAGTTGAAAATTAATTGATAGATATCAGCAAGATCTTTTAGATTATACCATGTATCGATTGTTAATGATAAAAGACGAGGTAAATAAGTTAATTTTGGAAGAACTGACATTACTACATCTGATTCGATTGTATAAAAAACAAGTGATTCAAGACAATTAAATGATGAATCGAAAATAAAGGATGAAATAATTTCATTAATACTTTCTGTCGACCATAAATGAACTGATAATATTTGATCTTTATTGAAAAGTAAAATTTTTTGGTAATTATTCATGAAGGTTTCGTTTGATTTTGAATAACCAAGTCTTATTTCGACCTGTCCGGGGTGTGGGTGTGGGTTGTGGGTGTGGAATGTGTGATAGAATAAAACTCACACCCACACGAACACCCACCCATACCCACACCCACACCCACACCCAAACCCCACCCCACACTCACACCCACACCCACCCACACCCACACCCACACCCACCCACACCCACACCCACACCCATTGATCATATTAACAAGCCTCGGTAATATGTTCGATTCTCAGTTGAAACATATCTATTTGTTCATCGAAAGTCAAAGGAAGTAAAAATTGTATTGTATAAACATTTTGCATATATTCACACTCCTTATCTTTTCTTTGAATAGTTATTCTTTAAAATATCTCTTTTTATATCGTCTACATTATCTCATCGGTTACCAACAACACATGTGTTATGAGTTACACCATTCCATGAAGGTAACTAAATGGCTAATCCTACATGTTTTTAATGATATTTGCACAAAATCAAACATCAGTTAACAGGAATCTGCCATGTCGTAAGTTTTTTAGGCAGCTACGATTAAAAAGGGTATGGGTGCGGGTGTGGGTGGGTGTGGGTGTGGGGTGCGGGTGTGGGTGGGTGGGTGGTGTGGATGTGGGTGTGGGTGTTAATATCTCTTCATGGGCACTCACCCACATTTACACCACACACACACACCCACACCCACACCGTCGCCCACACCCCACACTCGGTAGCTGCTGTAAGTCTTATGTGTGATGAAATAACTGACATGCTATTTATCACAAGATAGTGCAAGAGAGAAAAAGCAAATATTAGGAGACTGAATTACCAACTAACAGGTATAGTATAAAAAAATCTGCATTTTCTTGACGTTGTTTTCACTCAAAAGCTTTTAGCATTACAATTGATCATTCTGTTTTGAATTAAAGATCCATTCAATTGTTCATCATATTCTAGAAAATGAAAATGAAAATCTATCTAGAAACTTTCGATAAGGTCGTTATGTCTTTTGAAGTAGAACCCACAGACAAGATTCAACAGCTGAAATTGCAAATCGAGAAGAAGATGGGTCTCCAGCCCTTCCTTCAACGTCTTCTCTTCCAAGGGCACCAACTCAACGAAGAGCTTACATTCAATTACTATAATATCCGAAACGAAAGTACTATCTATATTATGCAGGGACATTATTAGACCAATAGTCATCAATGAGTACGCATTCACAAGAACCAGCACTATGATGAATTTTTTTGGGTCCTTACTGTATATCGATTATTTCATTATCAATAAAAATTGTTCATAAAACAATTAACATAGCCGGCTTTGTTCCATAAAATTGCATACAATATTTACTACCAGATTTCAAGATGGATTCCGATAGTTAGAATACTCCGATAATAATCTAACTTTTCATATCAGTCTTCCGCAATGGCCAAGTTCCGTGAGTTCTGAACTCTTGAGGAATTTGGAACACTTAAAATCAACCACAAAATAGCATCATCAAGCACTCAAAACCATCGTCAAGCACAGGTACTAGAAACTTACAGAACTCACGGAACCCATATAACTCACGGAACTCATAGAACTCGCTGAACCCACGGAACTCGTGAAATCCACAGAACTCACGAAACCCACAGAAGCCACAGAAGGATAAGTGCCTATAGACGCTTCTTCCAAAGTTATAGTAATTTTACTGAAGTTTTAGCCTACGCCAAAGTATCTACAAAAAACTTTCATGACGATATTTCGACTTGAAATTTTGTCCACACCTAGGTTTATTTGTAACCAGAACGCCCTGAAAATTTCAGCTCAAGAGAATGTTCCGTTCATGAGACATTAAATTTCCAAAATCATTCATATTATACCAAAAGATTAGAAAGTGTCATGTTTTTTGGAAGTTCAATATCTCACGAAGGGAATATTCTTTTAAGATGAAATTTTCAGAACATTTTCGTTACGGGTGGGTGGTGGGGTGTGGGTTTGGGTTTGGCTATACTTTCTAATCACATTGACACCCACATCCACACCCACACCCATACCCACACCCCACACCCTGATTGAAAGATGTTGTTGATTTGTATCAATATTTTTACTTCTATTTATTGATTGTTGATTATTGCTTGATTATGATTGAAATTCTTCATATTTAAACCAAGTAATTGAGGATGTGGGTGGGGATGTGTAAGGATAAGCAATACAAACATTCACACCGACTCCTCAAAATGCCTGAGTCTTCTTAAAACGCATTTGTCATACTTTCTTCGGGTGCATCTAACGAAGTTTGAGTGGTAAATAGAGTTTTTCATATATCGAACGATAAAATAAAAACCATGAAATTTTTCATTTATTTATTTTGAAACTTAAAACACTACTATGATAATCAATTTCAAAAAACAATTTTATGATAGAAAATATTTATAAAGATTAGAATGAAGTTCAAAACCTAATGACGCATCATAACTCAAATTTACGCGTATACAAGTATCAGTGTATATTTTATCATAGCAACAACACGAAACGCAAAGGTAAGGTAAAAAAAGAAGCAACATGTATGAAAAACGAAACGCATTTTATGACGAACACATAGCCGAAAAAAGTCGTCTACATGATGAAAAAGTCATGCTTCATTGATTCATGTAAATATACGCTAGTGGGAAAAAACCAAGTAATTTTGCCAATGATAAATACAGAATGAAATCGATTGCAAGCACACAAAACAAAATTCGCTACACTCCACTATTACACAGCACGTAAGTGTATTTAGTTTCTACCATTATTAGACTAGTAAGAAAATTAAAGTTAAAAGTAGAGTAGCTATATACAAAAAAAGAATCACGGGACATAAACATATGTTATTTTGATGGTTATAAAGTAGTTTTAAGAGAACTCCGCTTGATGATACTCAGAACATGCAATCGATTGTCTTGGTTGCAGAATCTTGTATGTATAAAACAGTCTTATTGTAAAACATGTTAAACAGACTAAGTGTTCGAATGCATACATTTCAACACGAGTAACAGGAATGAAAGGCACAATGTTTACTTTTAGAAATGCTATTTTGCCGTTCTACGAAATAATCTGGACAGGTTAAATAGACAAACGAGCTAGACATGCCAAAGTTCAAGGAAATTCTAGACTAGTTCAGACATAGCTTCAGGAGTTTTCATGTCAGGATAACTAGTTAGCAGGGCTCGAAACGGACCAACTGGCCCGGCCCGATGAAAGTTTTTTGTCGGGTCGGGCGGGCCCGACACTTTTATTGTTTTTTTCAACTTTTCAGAAAACTCTATGCTCATTTTAAGTACTAGAAACTATCATGAATGCTTTATGATAGAAAAAGTATCTAACCTTCAATCCAGTATATTGAAAAATAAATAAATGCCATTTTGGATGATAAAACGAACACTCATTTTTGTGTCTTTCCAAGCTCATTGATTAAAGGGGCGATTTTCATCAACAAAAATCAATGATTCTGATCTAAAATCATATTCATAGTATTTCCTTCGTTAAAATGTTGCTTTTAGTCGATGAATCTAAAATACGTCAAAATTAATGTTCGTTTCATCACCCCAATGCTGTGCGTGTCGTGTTTTTTTATATAAAACTCATGACTCTTTTATTTTTGAAGTGCCTGGAAGGTATGACTAATATAATCAACTCGAATAAATGCTGAAACTAATCACATGGCTCTTTTGCTTGCAAGGTTCTGTGTTGCTAAAACGGCATTAATTAACGAGCGAAAACAATTGGCAGAAAAATGTGCCGAAAATAAGTCGCCATCGAGCGTAGGAGCTTTAAATAATAGTTTATCTAATCTTTTAACTTGGACTAAGCAGTGAATTCATGGAAAGTTTACCATTTTCTGGAAAAAATAGGTAATTCTATGGATTTTGTGCCATCTTCGATGGGAAATAGTTTGCACGATTTTGATGATATTGTGAGTTAGAACACAGTAAAGCATAATATATTATCGAGTTGAAAAGTTCTAAACGCCTAAGTTGGGAGGCTCATCTTCAAATTTTAGATATGAATAAATTTTTTCTTGTTCACAAATTACTTTTGACCACTAGCTAACTCATTGTATGGTCGAAATACAAAAAAACACTTCCACTGAGAAATGCGGCAAATCTTCCACGGGTGTAATTCAATTAGCACATTGTACCATAGGATATCGTGCTATGTAGAATGAGCATTATGGAGTTCTAAAACTTTGAATATTTTTGTTTGTTTCACTGAACAAGCAATTCAACTTATTACATTATGATTCTATTCTTAGTTCGAGAATCTAGGCTAATCATACTCAAAATAACGCCGGGTATTTGCTCCCAAATACATTGGGACTTACCGTAGTGATCTATAAATTTTATTGAGAAAACAAATCTATGTAAAAATAATTTCGGTTGGGCCTGAATAACTTTCGGGCCACTTTGGGCCGGGCCGGCCTGGGCCATAAAAATGGGGCCCGTTTTGAGCCCTGACACTAACGAATAGAACAGCTTTGAATAAGAAACTAAAGTATGCATCATTATGAGCAATACCTCTTAGAATACGCAGTCTTAAAGAGCACACACCCAGTAAGATACAAAAAACCGTAATAAAATACAACCTTTGACAGTTATATACCCTACCTTTCTGTTGCTTGTAATTACGGGAGCAGAAGTTACACTAGTTCTGATAGATTTCTCTTCCAACTACCAAACCCAAGCTACCCTATCTCTGAGAATTCTAGGTGAAGGAAAATGGCCTTTAAAGATTTATTTTGGAGGGTATCTTCTTTTTAAAGTATTTTTCATATTCTAATAGCTCCCTTAATGGAAAAAGACCTTTGAAACTCTTTGCTTGAAAAGTACCTGATGTTTCAGGTATCTGTGCGAATTTATTAGTGTTTTTTAGAAAAATATGTCTTTGTTTGACAGGCACCTTATATTCAAGGTATTTTTTGAGACTTTAATACTATTGTAATTAAAAAGTTCTTTGAAGATCCTTTTCTATAGGCACCATGTTTCTAACGTATTTGTGGATCTTTGATTTTATCACAACGGCCGTATACGATGGTTGACGACGATGACTGCTGGCGTTTACGACCGTACTTGTTCGAAACAGTTTCATGGTGTTACGGCGCAAATACGGTCGTTTCTAGTCGTCGTAAAGCTTTTTCTCGAGGATATTCAGAATCAACACACTCGATTACCTATTGTCCACTAAGTTTTAGCTCAAAAGTGAGGGGTCATTTGATGCCTTCCTTCGTAAGCTATGACCTATTAATCGGAAGCTCCAATTATACCCCAAGATGATTGGGCTTATCTCGTGCTTATCTTGAAATTGTAGATGGTTTCACAATTTTTGTTTGATTTTGGTCGAAGTGGTCTCAGTGCATTGCGATATTACATATGTGTAATAGAAGATCAGGGATAATGAGCACTTTTCAAGTGCAGATGGTTTACTTGAATTCGGCTTCCAGTGATTTTCAAATGCACTCTGTTTATTTTAAATTTAAATTTTTAAGAGTTTGCTTAGAAGATTGTAACTTGACTCTTTAGTGAGCTTAAAGCTTCAGCGAAGATCGAAGTTTAAGATCACTAACAACATGAAAATCCTCTCCTCACTTATTGTGCGCGTGCATGTGAATACAAAGCCTCAATCCTTATCAGCCTCTTTTTTTTGTTTCTTTCTTTGTCTCTGTATCCCGCTTTGCTAAATAGTGAGCGCATGTGGTCCTTATCATATCTAATCTTTGCCTATGTGTGCGTCGTAAACTACCCGGTCTCTTTTTATTTCGTTCTCATTTTTATTCTTCTCTTCCCCGGACTTGCCGTATTCGCCTTTCTGTTTGTTGTGTGCATCAACTTACACGCAGCAATCTTCGTCTCCTTCTATTATATTTCGAACCCCTTCATTTTTCTGTCATATGTTCGTAGTTCGGTCACCAAGTATTGAATATGAATTCTAGAGACTGGAAGAAATTCAGAGTAAATGCCGTTACTACTGCGACTATCACCATGATAGCTAGCATTAATGAGAAACAATCACAACTTTGGGGGTTGTAGGAAACTGGAATAACAGAGTTCATATTGAAAATTAATTTAAAACAATTCAAAATATCAATTATTAATAGAACAGATTTATTTGCATGATTCATAGAGAATCTATGCAAATTCTATAGAGAATCTATAAAAAAATCTACCAGGATCAATGTTTCCGCCATCACTCTCAACCAGGTAATATGCCTTTTGTGTAGGTGACAATGTTTCTGCTCTCAGCCTCAGTCGGACGATGCAGCCTTTGTGTGTGACTGTGTTTTCGTCCTTATCCTCACTCTCATGATGATAACACCTGGTGCACATGGTATGTATACTCTTCGCTGAAAAACACTTTGCAGACAGTATTTTTTTTGTTTTTGGCGATGGAGAACGCCTCAAAGGTGAGGACGAGGGCGAAGTGACTTGTGCTCTTCATGTTTAACAAGCCTATATAACAGCTATAGGGCCTGCAACAGCCGAGAGCGTCTCGCGTGACTTTCGACAAAATGCTTTTCGGTGAAGAGCATCATATTCTGGTAGTCTCTAATAGATCTTACTAAAAAGTATTGATAAAAGAATAATAGAAACTGTATTATTTTAGAATTCTTTTTTTTTTGAATTACTTCATAATTCATATACGTCATTCAGTGAATAGAACCCTCAAAGAACTTCTATATTTCGAATCAGCGTAAAAAGTGTATTGAATAAGATATGATCTTTTCAGCTGGTTATAATAAAAAAGTTTCTTTCATCTGTCAACTAGAAAAACTAAAGAGGTTATCAAGATGCACTTTTGAGCATTTCTGCCTTGTAGATATTTTTAAAAGTTTCTAGGCAAATTTATTTTACCAAAGCTTTTGTTTTTAGAGTAATTAGCAATGACATCACTTGATAGAGTGGCTGATGTAGCCTCGACAATCACGAAACAGGAATTGGAAAATGATGAAGAATTTGCAAGACCCTTAGACCGGAGAATTGATGAATATGCCTATTGGGAACAACAAATTGATGCTGTACTATACTTATTATGCGCAAAACGGATGATGAATGTTCATATGTTACGAAAAGGTATAGAATCAATCGATAAACCAGTCTATAATAAATTAAGCTATTATGAACGATGGGCAATTTCTCTTGCTAAATATTGTTTGGAAGCTGGTATATTAACTCAAGAAGATTTGAATAAGAAATATGGTCCACCTTTGCATTCAACTGATAAACAATTATTTCAGGTTGGTGATAAAGTACGTGTTCATCATGAAAATTATGCTACTCGTTGGATTAAACCTCATTTACGCACTCCTGGTTATTTGTATGGCAAAATTGGTATTATTGAAAGATGTTGTGGATTACAACCTAATCCTGAATATTTCGCTTATGATAATACTGATAGTATTACTCATCATCAACCTCTTTATCGAGTAAGATTTGATCAAAAAGATGTTTGGGATCATTATGATGGTGCTGATGATGATACTATTGATGTCGAAATTTTTCAACATTGGCTAATGCCTGCATCTCAACCTTATTCATCAACAGAAAAAAACGAAGATGAAGGTGGGCTTAAACATGATTTTGATCATCAGCACAAAGATCATGACCACGATCATATGCACGAGGCTAGAGCTGTTATTGAACAAACAGCAGTAGATCGTGAAGGAAGACCATTACCTGCTCAACATTTAGGAGAATCATTGGTGAGTGCATTAATTGGTAAAAACATATTCAGTCCTGAAGAATTACGCAAACAAATTGAAACAAATCAGATGGGTGGAGTAGAACAAAGAGGAGCAAATATTGTTGTTGAAGCCTGGTTAAATCCTGAATTTAAACAACGTTTATTAAAAGATGGCACAAGTACAATTGCTGAATTTTTAAAACTTGACAAAATGCACGACAATATAGTGGTTGTAGAAAATACCGATAAAGTTCACAATTTAGTAGTATGTACTCTTTGTTCTTGCTATCCTCGACAATTACTTGGTATTCCACCTGGATGGTATAAGTCAAGATCGTATCGTGTTCGTGCACCTAGAGATCCTCGTTCGATTTTAAAAGAATTTGGAACTGTACTTCCTAATGATATGAAAATTCAAGTTCATGATAGTACTTCTGATTTACGCTATTTAGTAATTCCTCGTCGTCCTGCTACTACTCAAAATTGGTCTCGAGAACAATTACTTTCAATAGTTACTCGTGATAGTATGATTGGTGTTAGTGATATTACTGCTTAATTAACATATTTTCATAATCAAACAATTGATAAAATGAACTTGCACTCTTCACAAATTTTTCTGTTTACATTTTTTCAAGTTTTCAAAGTGATTATATTACAACTGAAATATGTTCTTGTGGATCCAAAAGTTGATTCTTGGAATAATAAAATAGATTCACCAGATTAAATGACATTCACAACAAGCAACTTTCATCTCCGATGAATGGAAAAAATTAGAGAGTTTTTTTTTCTCGTTTTTTTTCCACTACGTGAAATTATTTAAGCAAGATGTCATTAGTGCTACAGATGGTATTGATTGATTGAGTATTTGCATGTGTATATGTTCTCTTGTTTCTCAGACTCTTCACAAAAAGTTCTTTTTTCGTCATATTATTAGGTTGGCAAGAAAGTTTTGCGTTTTTTTTTTTACTAAACGACAAAATTTATTTTTCAACAGAACAAAACGACCTCAATCAATAATATATTCGCCGTTATTATCAATAAGAGTGGCCCATCTTTTCGGCAGTTGGTAGATCCCGTTTTTATAAAAGTCTGGGTCTTTTGAGTTCAAAAAAAAGGCGAGGTCAGAATTGAGTGTCGTAGTCTTCAAAGCGTTTCTCAGCCAGATGGTTCCAAAGAGAGCGGAATAGATGGTAAACCGATGGCGCCAGGTCTGGGGAAAATGGTGGATGAGGGAGGACTTCCCAGCCCAACTTCTGAATTTTTTCTCGCGTTATCTTCGCAACGTGTGGCCGAGCGTTGTCGTGAAGCAAAATCACTCCCCTTCCATTGATCAGCGTTGCCCAGGCAGACAACAAAACGGCAAAAACGGCGTTTAAACGTCTCAACATCTCAACTATTTAAACAGTGTCATTAGTCGCCAAAAACACGTTAAAACAGTTTATGAAAAATTAACTTTTAACACGTTTTACATGTTTAAACGCTTGGAGTCATTGAAATTATAACTGTTTTAACGCGTTTTTGGCGACTAATGACATTGTTTAAACAGTTGAAATAATTTCCCTTGTCATGCCTCTTAATGATCAACAAACGTTTCATCTAAACGATGAATTACCAATAATTTATAACTAAACTTTCTTCTCATTGATAAACCCGATCGATTATATTCAAATTATCATTAGATTAATGTTAAATCGACATATGTTTATAGTTTATACTTTGAAAACAGTGCAGAGAATTTATCTCTCGTCAGTTCGTTTC